ATGATAGTTATGTTCATCATGTCTCAAAATTTATTGTCATCATTATCACGCCAACTTTAACCTTAAGGGAAATTGAAAAAATGATCAAGATATTGGGAGTTCAAGTTGAACAAGTGGAAAACAAAGGACCAAAAATAATACACAGTTATGTACATTTAAATCACATTTAATAATAGAAAAGTTGAGTGAAAAATGGAACTATAAATTACGATAGAAATCAGAATTAAACCTGAATGTTTGCTTCAATTTTTCACTTATTTATGAATGTGGTTCTAAGGCAAAATTATAGAGAGTGATGTCAGAAGTCAAGTGTGGATGTATGATCTGAACTGAGTAGGTGGCAGAATTGAAGATTTTAATACTTTTTTTAACTTTACTGTGTAAATAAAGACACATTTTGTTTTTTATTGTTTAATTAGTGGCAGAAAATGAAGCAAAACAGGATGAAAACTCTCCTGATACGGTATGGTACACAATCTTGTAATGAAGAACACAGATTAAAACATCATAGAGAACTTGATATCAAAATTCTTTCTACATGTATTGGCATTATTTATATTTTACCCACATGTAACTGAATTAACCAAAGACTTATTGACACAAAGAAATGGCAAGAAATCAGTACAAGTGATAGTATAGTCTGATTGTCTTGTTGAGTGTAGTGCTGAGAAGGACTGTTGTTGGTAGTGTTGACTGACATTTTGACAACCTGAGTGGAAGTCATCAGAGTTAAGTGAACAGTTGTTGTCAGTTCAAATGTACCACAAAGCAAATCAAATGTAAATCAAAGCAAGTCTTTATACTTGATCTAAATGTTGAAAAGGCCAATGAAAATAATCAAAGGACATATTTTTCCCTCTGGTGTCTTTATGATTCCATTGCAAAGGTTGAGAATACTCTTTGAAAAGGGTGAACAGAACATCAAGACAGTTTTCATGGTCATAAGCCTGAGTCTGGGGAGAGCATGCATATTATCAAAGGTTGCAGATTGATTGTTAAATATGGTAGATCAATTGGGGAGGACTTTTTGTTGGGATAATGGCTCTTTTCTGTTTCTTGGAATCATAGTATAATTACTGGTAGTTCTATACTGTATATCCCCAAGTTCACCATACTCATAGTTTCACTTTGGTTCAATTTGTGTATTTGCATTGGAATCTGTTATATGTAAACTGTGTATTGTAGGTGATGGTGGGCATGGCTAGAGGGGAAGATTCGCAACTGATACAAAAAGATGACAATCACAAAGAGGCTGAGACAGCAGGCAAAGCTAACCAGCAACCTCCAGTTCTCAAGCCTGCGGCTTCTGATGGTCATGCAGCATCTGTGACAGGACAGCCTTCATCAGTTTTGGCTGTCATTGATGGGCAATCTAATCAAGAACAACCTCAGCAACAGTACACAGTTTCAAAACCGAAGTAAGTTGTTGAAGTACGGGTAACCAACATTTGGGTTAACGAAAACCATGTTTGGGTTTGATTGTCAAAAACTCCCCATTCTGCATGGTAATAATAGGACCTACAATTTTTTACCAATCAGAATACTGTATTTGGAAACAAAAGTAATCTTGCAGGCTCTCACTTTTCAGTACCAGACTTCTTACAGATCTCTTGTTCCCTCGAATCTTGTGAGCTTTGCTGCTTGCGGAGGAGTGCAAAATTGGGAGTCAGCTCCTAGATTAAATAAAAATCAATTCATTGTGGTGGTGAAATAATCCCTGATTAATTAATACCTGAAAGTAAGTTCAAAATAAGTGAATTCAATTATTAATTCAAGTGTGAAATTACAAAATAAATTTGTTTCAAATTAATATTAATTCATTCTCTACTAATGGATCTCACTGACATTATTTTGTTTTAGATATGATTGGTATCAAACAGAAACACACGTTATTGTAACTTTGATGATCAAGAATGTAAAACAGGAGAATGTGAATGTGGAATATGGTGACCAAACAGTAAGAGACATCACTCTTCTTCAAAAGTTATTTTACTCTTGATTTAATTTAGTTTCTTTGCTAGTGAAGCTATAAAAAATTTGCAGTCAATGAATTCTTAATGAGAGAACTGTACATCATCAGTTGAATAATTATGTTTATTTGAATTTCTACTCAACACATCACAAAAGATGACAAGAAATCAGCTTGCTGGTGGAAAATTAAAGGCTTCATTTGACCCTCTAGTAAATTGTAGAGAAAACTTCATTGATATGTAAATTACATGTAGTACTGGAAATTTTAGTAGCCACATTGGCATAATGATAAATGAGCTAATATTTGATGTTGTGTTCATAAGTCTTTTTTCTACTCTTTAAAAGCTTCTCTCAGCCACGTAATCTTATACATGTGAATAGGGCTTTCATGTAGAGATGTTAAGGCAGGAAAGTATTACTAAGAAACAATAGAATGCACTACATAGACATTTACACAACAGCTTCATGTCTCAGTCAAAAGATAGCTCAGACCAACAAAATTAAGTTGGAGAATTCTTCATAAGAGCTAGATAATTCTCTATCTGGAGTGCATAGGGAACAACACTGAATAATGAGCACTGCTAAATTGTCTTGGAATGATCAGACAGAATGCTGGAATAAGTTGTAGTGTGCTACATGTACTGTTGCATCCCACCATGGCTGTTACTTGGTAATGAAACCTTTCAGTCAGAACACTTAGTTGAAACACTGGATTTGATTTGTTGTAGTTAAGTGCTACAGTGAAGCTTCCAAGCGGCAGTGACTTCAGCTTAGAACTGGATCTTGCTCAAGCCATCAATCCAGCACAGTGCAAAACAAGAATCATGTCAACAAAGGTAAAAACTGACAAATTTTTCTTTTTCTAATTCTTGTTCCCAAACAAGTTAGAGAGTTAATGAACTAAGACATACCATCAGCACAGTGGGATTGTCACCGTTTGCAAAGACTAATGTTAAAAAGAAAAAAAACTTTGCTTAAAATTTTCAACACAGTTAATCGGTGACCATGTACACTTACAGTACATACTTGTTCTAAAGTTTGTTTTAAATATTTGGATATGTAAAACAGCACAGAAGTTGATCAAATCCTGAAAAAAGGCTGATTGACATTCAAAATTTTGAAGAATTCAGGATTATTGCAAGTGGGTTGAGTATTAATTTGCTGCCACTCTAAGTAATTAGGTCCATGGAAGGGAATGCAGGGGGGACATCCGGGAAATTTTTTATCTTTAAGATGCTTGAACTGCCTTACAGGTTGAACTAAAGATGAAAAAAACTGAGGGAATGAGATGGTCATCTCTTGAAGCTACTGAAGAAACTGTCTGCAAACCATTTCCAACAAAAAGTATGTGCAACACTGACTTGTATACATTTAGGTTGTGGAGCTTAACCTTAGTAACTTTACCTTTACCATCTATCAACGTTTTGCACATTGAAGGTACATGTAACTCAGTGGCATTTGTCACAGCTCAAAAAGTAGGTTTTTTGAGTGCCTCACTCATGGAGCTCCTCTCTTGTGGGGTATTGAAGTCACTCCAAGAACTTCCTAAAGTACTCTCACATCACTTTTTTTTTTTTCACTGATTTTTTTCAACAAGCATGACAGACTTTGCCAAAAAGAAGGGACTTGTCGTTTATATTGTGTGTATTGTATTGTACCATGAACACAATACAAAATAAATACCAGGCAGCAGAACCAGTCTCCCAGCACTTTTTACCTCTAGCTGAGATTGTTCTTGGTTTTTTTTCAGCATGACCATGACTTTTTAACCCTTTAACCCCAATGAGTGACAAGCATCTAATTTCTCCTCACAATATCACTACTGAATCACACCTTAATGTAATGAGAATAAAGGAAATGATAGACTAAAGAAACTCTTGATTGTTAGACAAATTCTCCTTGTCAGCACCTTAGTAAATGTACAGAGAACAGTATGGAGAATATGCATACTGATATTAAGGGGGAAAGAGCTAACATTCCCAAAGTGGCAATAGTTTGCTTGCAAAGTTTAAAGCAAGTTATTGGAATAATAACTTCTTATATGTTTCCTGTGGACATTGACGATGTAAAGTACATGTACTTTGTCTATTGCAGATGAAACAAAAGACCCTGGTGATGCTGTGCATAAATATCCCACTTCACGGCATGTTGGAAAAGATTGGGATAAAGTTGCAGCAGAGATTGCCAAGGAGGAGAAAGAGGAAAAACTTGAGGGTGAAGCTGCTTTAAATCAGCTATTCCAACAAATTTATGGTGATGGTAGTGAGGAAGTGCGGAAAGCAATGAACAAGTCGTTTGTTGAATCTGGTGGAACAGTTTTGAGTACCAACTGGGATGAAGTCAAAAAAGGGCATGTGGATTGTAAACCTCCAGATGGAATGGAATATAAAAAATGGGACAGTTAGACTGTATGGACAATGAGTTCATCGTGCAGTTCTTGTATCCATCATCTGACACTGGGAAAAATTTCATATCTTTGTACTGATGTACTCTGTGCCATTTAGAACTGAAGAAAAAGGCTGTCTTTTATTTGTTGCTTGAGGATGAGAATGGTTTATTTCTAATTTCTTTTCAAATTGGTACAAGTGGAGAAGACATAGATAGAAAACTGTAGAGTGCTCCAAGCTGTGACCATTTTGGTGGCCTTGGTGACTAGAAGAACATTTTGGCTACTAAATTTGCAGCATAATTCATCAATTTTGCAAATTGTGTTTGGCAGTCTAACTGAGACAGTCAAATACTTAAGATCAATAAATTGCTGTGTAGTTTTTATTAACTACCCTGTTTGCTCAGAGTTGTAGTATCATGATCTTCTTAGAATGCATGTGTTAATAAATTTCTTATGCATTTTCAAGATCTGGTGGTCACTGTTGTCAAACTCTTATGAATTGGAGAGGTGCATGGAGTAAAGTTATGTTGCGACTGATAGACTTCTAAATTCTATGCTAAAAAATTTGTATTTATTGTTAAAACACAAGGGGAATTTGATGTTGCATCAAAAGCCATTCAGGCTTAAATTCAAGCACCTCTTCCTTTTTCTCATTGCATGTATTTGAAGCACTGTATATATTTTCATACAAAAACAGCAAACACACACTGTGTACAATTGCTGTGGTTCACAGTCCAGCATGTGTTCAAGGTCTTAGTCAGTGGAGATGATTGAAAAAGCACAATGTAGATGAGAGTCATATATAAGTGTGTTCTTTCCAATACTTAGCCATTCGTAGCTTATCAAATTTTTCTTTATCATCTTGATTGTGAGCTCAAACAGTTTACAGTGTCAGTGCTTCCATAAGCTGTAGCTAATTTGTTTGGAACATTGCACCAAGATTGTGCAAGTGTCAGGTTTAAGTTTAGGCTTCTTTTAGATGATAAAAATTTCTTAGAGCTTCCTTTTCCTAGTCAGCCTCCTCATAAGTAATGTTAACACAGGAGTTACTGAACAAGAAAAGCTCTTCAAAAATATTGCCACTCTTTGCTATTCCAAGTGAACTACATCAACATTAAGTTAAAAAGTTTGTAGTTTTTTATTTTTTTTACTTCTGTCAATATCTTGCATTGGAATAGCTGGTACCAGTTTAAATGAGAGAAGAAATATTTCACCTACACAGAGTACGTTCTTAGGCATCGGACATGCATAGAACATAATTGTATTAAAAATGACCACTTTGTTAATCATTTGTATTAACTCTGGAAGAAGAAAAGCATGTAAAATTATGGATTTATCATTGAGTAATGTACTTGAAAAGAGAAATATGTCTCATGGTACATTCTGATTGAGGCACCTTAATTTTTAAGACTTTGTCTAAAAAATTAAAAAGTTGTCAATTGGTTCTTTCTATTCAGCAGTGATTCAGCTTTATGCATGGAAAGTTTAGTTCTTTTGTATCTCTTGCACAAGATCACACGCTCCACATCTTGATGGTTTGTGTTACTGTCTACTGCATGGAGGGCAGTGACAACTTGTGGCAGTCCACTCCCCAGACATTTTATTTGAGTATATGTATTTCACATCTCATCTCTTGCATTGGGGCCACATGCAGCACACCATTATACAGAGTGTACATGCCTCAGTCAAACCAATGATTCAAATAAATATTGGCACAACTTCAATAGAATGTTGTTGAATTCCACCAAGTCCTTCACTGGATAAATCTGAAGCAGTCACTTGCCACTTTCCAAACAGTTCCTCCCTCAGCAGTCAACAGAAAGTTTTGTGAAAACCGATGTATCTTGTGCCCATCATACTTAACCAATCCCTCAACCACAACTAGAACTGTTGTTTGCCCAGGGATGGCTTGATCTGATTGTAGAAAGAAACACAAGTAAATCATAGGCATGGTGAAAAAGGGTTTGTAGAGAGGGCCCTGGAATTGCAAGCTGAGGTACTGGTACCTGCTTTGAGCCCCAGGGCCACAACTGGAAGTGTTCAAATCGTCTGTGTCCCCTCAATTGGTGTTCCTAACTCTGACCATTATCTTTAAGTTAGAATTTAACTTGTTTCTCTGATTCATGTTGTGAAGCACATTTCAAAACTGATGTTGAATTTGCACCTTTTAAATTCTTCAGTGAAGGGATTGATCCACTCAGCTAAAAGCCACGAGAGGAAGGACTAAAAATATCTAACCTTTTAGAGAATTGCTTTGCATTACCAATTCAAGGTCATTTAATCTAAGTATAGTCCAACAGCAAACAAATGGAATAAGAATTTGTTTTTGGATGGCTTCAGACCATTCTTACTTTACCATTAACCCTTTACAACCTTAAATCACTCATTCTGTATTTTTTGGTAACAACCAAAGCCTGTTTTGTTAGCAATCATACCCTTTATTCTCATAGCTTATTGATTCAGGGGATACTAGTCAGTCAATCTAAGGGGTTTAAAGGTTCAATCAGTTAACCACAGAGTGCAGGGCCATAATTTGTTGGAAAATTTTAAGAATTATTATGGAAATTGCGTTGTCTGATTGTACAGGCGAGACTAGTCCTGGGAAGGACTGTTGTCGCTGGTGGTGACTGACGTTTTGACAAACCGAGAGGAAATCATCACCAGATCATTAGTCAGTCATCAGTTGATGATGACTTCCGCTCAGTTTATTGAAACATCAGCCACAACTACAGACAACGGTCCTTATCAGGACTTCGCTCACCGGACGATCACACTTCAAGATGACATGTTAACCCCGGATTCAAACTATTGCTGACAGAAATAATGATGGAATAACATGGTACGTAGAACTGAAATAATTTTGATGAATAAGATCTTAACAAGTGCCTCGATAATCTGCAGTTTTAACACTCTTAGTACCTGAAACTGGTTGACAATCTAGTGAATGGAGCGTGTGTTCCGTAGCTGGAAGGTTGTTGAAAAAATCCGTCACCTTAGCACTTCCACCTTTAACTACATTTCCATTCCAGACGATTGTAGTATTCTCTGAGTATAGTTTCGACATGAGCTGCAAAAACAAAATAAACCGGGAAGATTACGACATAATCGAGTCTCCCATCAACGGATTTAGGGAACGAATACGGAAGCATTTAGTAAGTCGTAGAACTGTCTAACGAAGAACTCACGTGGCGTCGTTTGTCCAAAGTCTCGTAGTAGACATTACTAAATTCCTCCCCAGCCTGGGTCGCTTGATCGATTGCATTTCTCAGACCCTGTTTAAAAAATAAAAGAGGTTTAAAACATTTAATTTGACTAAGATCTAACCCTCGATAATAGTGACTCAACTTACATCAACTTTGGCCGCCATTTTGTTTTCTGTTAAAGTATACCGCTTTTAATCAAACTGACGGCTCGGAAATATTTACGGTTACCAAGCGTTGAGGCTTCTCTAGAAGCATGTGACCAAAACAAAATGTTTATGTTCTGAATTACAAATTGAACGAAATTGAACCATTGTCGTAATTTTTTTTTCACTTTTTCGTTTCGACCTGTCAGAACACCATGTGGACAGAAGCTTTGATATGGCTACAAATTGTGGTGCAAACGGTATTTAGCAGTCAGGAAACTTGTTCAAGTTTTGGTTACAGTTTAAGTTCGTTTTACTCCAGAGCTAAGATTATTTCTTCGAACGAAGGAAAGACGACATGTGGATGTTCTATTCTCAAACGAGATAAAGCTTCCCTTGACGAAGGACTAACACCGCAGAAAGGAAACATAGAGAACAGTGACAACTTGAAATCGTCTTATCAAAGAACGAATCAAATGGTTTTAATCAAGGGAGGTAAATTTGCCATGGGTACCGACAAACCATTTCTGCCAATGGACGGTGAAGGGCCGGCGAGAGAAGTGAAAATAAATTCATTTTATATGGACATTTATGAAACAAGTAATGAAGAATTTGAACTATTTGTCAACAACACTGGTTATGTCACAGAGGTAAAGACATTACTTTAATGCTGAGGGTCACAGTGATGCATGCAGATAGGAATTCATGTTTCAGCTCCTTATCCCTTCCACCGTCCACCCCCATTGTCTCTCAAAAATTAAATGAACCTGATTAAAGAACTGCTGTCGAATCAGAATGTGTCCAATTCTCTTTTTTTAGGGTGCTAGAATCTGAATTTGCAGTTAAATATGCCAGAATTGATTGAATCCTGTCTTTTGCTGAGTGATGAAAGCTGAAATATCCTATAAGTAATTGCTCTGTCAAATATCATGTAATGTGTATATGTGTTGATTTTGTAACAGCCTCAGTAATTCCTCCTGGGAGGTGAGGATGGAGTCAATGCATTACACTTGATGTAGAAATGAAAGAGGGTTTTGCACCAACCATGGAAAAAAATTTCACATTGCATGAAAGCCCATGACTTTGCCTGAGAAAGTTGCAAACAGAACAAAGGTTCTGCCAGATTTAATGAACCCTTTGGTAGTGTTCACTTCTTTATATTATAAGTTGGTTTACTCTCCTTTCTGTCATGACAAAATTCTGATCTAATGGCTTGCTCCTTTTTCTGCATTCTCTTATAAATGCCAGGCTGAAAAGTTTGGAGATTCATTTGTGCTTGAAGGGAAGATTAGTAAGGAGATCAAGAAGGATATTCATCAAGCAGTGAGTGATGAAATTTATGTGCTGTCACTTCATTGATCTAATTGTTAATTCTCCCCTCTGGCTGCTACACATTTCCCTGTAAACTAGTTACAAGACTTTGGTGCTCAATCAGGATGACAACTTTAACCTAATAGGTTCGAATATTCCTATTACTTGTTTTCCTGGAAAGTGTTTAGAAATTATAGGGAGAAGTTACATGTTAATCACATCTGGGAGTTTAAGGGTTAATAGTCTAGTTTATTTCTCAGGTTACTCTACATGTTCTTTGATCACTTAACCCTTTTACTTCCAGAAATAATTTAGAGATAACTTTTCCCTATAATATCCATACACTATCTAACAAACAGGTAGTGTGAAAACCTAAACTAATCACGGAAAAGTTGTTTTTCTTGATCTAACACCAAATTCTCCTAACAAATTAAAAGGAAATGTATAGCAGCCAGAGAGAGAATAAATGATCAGATGTTAGCCGAGTTAAAGTGTTTATTAAAACATGGTGAAAAATTCCCCTTCTAAACCTCAGCAATAGTGTCCTTCTAAGCTCCCTAACAATCCTAGTGATTAATAACCTTAATGCAGACCCAAACTGCTGGAAGGAATGTGTACAGTATGATGAAGATGATTGTTCAGTTCTTTTAATACTAATTAGTTAATGACTGTATTGCTAGGGACGATGGGATGATGGGATTAGTGTAGAGAGATCCATCTTGGCCACATGTAAATGAGCTCTCTCATGGTTATCAAAATTTGTTAGTTTATATCAGCCATCCTGTTCTATATCTAAGAGAGAATTTTGCAATTCCCTGTTTTGCAGCTTTGCTGTTAGTATGGTTATAGTATGTCCCTCAGTTACTATATTTCTCCTCTATTTTAACGTCAGGTCGCAGCAGCTCCATGGTGGCTGCCAGTAAAGGGAGCTTACTGGAGGAAGCCAGAAGGACCTGATTCTCACATCAGAGACAGGTATTGTGCAAGGTTTTATCCACCATAAATTATTGCATGTGGCCTACTGCTTGTATGTCTCTCATACATGCTACAACTAAGTAGAATTTATTCAGTGGGTTTGATTGGTCTCTTAGAATGGATCATCCAGTTCTCCATATCTCCTGGAATGATGCTGTTGCATTTTGTAAATGGGGTGGAAAAAGACTGCCTACAGAAGCTGAATGGGAGTATGCCTGCAGGGCTGGCCTACAGGACAAGTATGTGAACTTGATTACGTGTATTAGTTATGAAATTTTTATAACAAGTTTTGCAGTGGCACATCACAGACTAATTTTTTAACCACTGAATCCGTGTGGAATTGGAGTCTGGATTGTTGGTTTTTGTGTTAGCAAGAAGATCAGGGGAAACTGCTTCCCAGCAGGGATGAGAACCTCAACCCTTTACACCCTAACATCAGTATGCAGATTCTCCACACTGTTCTTTATACATTTCCTAAGATGCAGACATGTAGAATTTGTTTAACAATTAAGATCTTCTTTAGTGGGTGATCAACTCCTTTATTCTCCTAACCTTAATGTTTGATTCAGGGGTAATATGGTAAGGAGAAATTAGATGCCAGTCACTCTTAGGATTAAAGGGTTTTAAATAAACTCAACCTGTACAATGATTCTGAGTCTAGAAAGCATACTGAGACCAAACTAGTTTGCTTTGATGGCTTTGTGAATTCGCTGGGCATTCATGTTATTTAAGACGCAGATTTAATTAACTGTTTCACTTCTTAGATCTTTTTAGTAATTCTCCTTACTGTCTGCTATACAATTCTTCTGATGCTACTTCTGAGAATTTGGTATTGGATCAATTAATAATTCCCTTATTGATACTTTTCTTGGTTCTCATCACTTGTCTTCTTGATGTTGTTAGGAGAAATTCTCTCCTGGTCACTCATGGGAGTTAAAAGGTTAACAAATAGATTCCATTTTGCTCTGTGTCTGTTCATTTACAGATCATAGATGACATCAGTGATACACTCAGCTGCACCTTGTGTGCCACTTTGTTTTCCTTCCCTTATTTTGACATCTGGAATCTATGACTGAAAACATCCACAGCAACTTAAAATCAATTTGTTTTATTTGATAGAGAAGCAAAAACTTGATGACGTTATCTAATGGTATGCATTTTTATATTTGCCCTCTAATAGATCACAAGTAGGAACACATCAAAATGTGGGCTTAATTCAGCTAAGGAAAGCAATTTTTTTTTTTTTTGCACTTCATTCAACAATTTACCCTGGGTATTATTGTCAGTTATTCCTGATTAACCCTTTAACTCCGAGAAGTGATTCATGAGTAACTTCTCTCTACAATATCCATCCATTATCCAGCAAACAGGTAGTGAGAGTATGCAAATGTATCAGGTAGAAGTTGTTATCTTGATCTAACACCAGATTCTTGCAACTAATCTATGAGGAAATGTGTAGCAGCTAGAGGGGCAAATTAACAATCAGATCCTAGGAGTTAAAGGGTTAAAGTGAACGTGTAACCTTTCTATGAACCATTTTCACTGTCAGGCTTTATTCTTGGGGTAACAAGCTTAAGAAAGATGGTCATCACATGGCAAACACATGGCAAGGGCGGTTTCCAACAGTCGATTCAGGGGAGGATGGGTACTCTGGTACAGCTCCTGTCACAGCATTCCCACCTAATAAATTTGGTCTGTATAACATGCTGGGAAATGCCTGGGAGTGGACACAGGATTGGTGGAGCATACGGCACCCAAGCCACTTCCAAGAAAATCCGGTGAGTTAGTTTGGTTTTGTACAAGACTTAATTGTATACGTAGTGGGAAACATGGTGGCTTACGGCTTAGTGCGCTGGGCTGCTGTTTGAGAAGTTCAGGAGCCTTGGCTGTGTCATTGTGTGGTGTCCTAGGAGGACAGAAAAACAGATCCAAGAGTGTCTCCCTCCACTCAGGAGTATAAATGGGTACCATCAAGCTGGCAGGGTTCTCCTCACAGTTGACAAAATACAACCACGTTGGAGATGAACTTTGTTCGTTTGTCTCACGATAGGGTCACTTTTGATGTGGATTACGATGCTTCGACTGCAAGACTGCCAGTCTTCATCAGGTGATGAGGTCGATTGTTTAAGTGTTGCCATTTGTAGCATGTTTGTACGCTGCTATTGGTGCATTTCGTACCAACGTGCTACAAAGAGCAACACGTTAACGATCGACCTCATCGCTTGATGAAGACAAGCAGTACTGCAGTCAAAACGTCGCGATCAACATCAAAAGTGACTCTATCATGAGACAAACGAACAAAGTTCATCTCCTATCTTACACTACGATGAACAATAAACACATATTTTATTACATACGACTAGGTTACTTGTAAATGAATAAAGGGGGTAAATTTCTAAAGAAACTGTGGTGCTGCATGGATGGGGGGTACAATTGAAATGTCGGTCCTAAAAACTCTCTGCAATGGTCAATTTACATTATCAACTCAGTTGATTAAACTGATTTATCCACAGTACGTCACTTTAAGTTAAAAAGCACCCCACCCAAAAAATACTCCAAGTTGCTTGGTGCTATAGTAACTAAAGTTAAGCACCTGAGCAGGTATTGGTCATCTAAGCCTGTTAGCCTACATATTAGGCTGACTAGATCAGTCTTGAGACCTATGCCCACAAGGGAGCATGGAACACGGAGCATGGCTAAGGGTCATTTTACTTTATAAGAATACACTATGGAGCATTTTCAAGTTTGCTCAATTTTTCCTGAATTCTTGCATCCAAATATGTAACCCGTTTGACACTATGAAGCATTTTACAGGATGGAAATTAAGCTTGCTAAGATAAAGTATACTCATGAATTCATTGACAGTCAAAGAGAGAGCTTTGTTCTAGCAGTATGCACCTGGAGCACGCTCCGATATCAGCCTCAAGAGAGTTCATGCTTAAGTAACACAAATGCACGCGTAAATAAACGTTAAAGCACTTTTCGGTTGAGTGTCGTAAAAGCAAAACCAAGGTAGTAACAACAGCCAAGCAGAAAAAAGGAAAATACCTTAAAGAGCCAATGAGAACTCAAAGTAAAAACAAGAAAATTGTCCAAAGCGCGGGAAAACGCGGGCGACCAAGTCATGATTGGTTTTAGTTTTGCATCTGATTGGTTGAGAGAGTGGCGCGAGTTTCCTGGACCAATCACACAGCAACGTAAATCAAAACTAAAGCGATCTCTGATTACCTTCGACACTCAGTTGAAAGTTGCTCTATTAAAAAAAAGCTCTTTATGAACTGCATAAGAGGTCATTGTAGTCTTCATTGGTTTAGAAAGGACCTGCATCAGGAAGGGATAAAGTGAAAAAAGGTGGATCTTACATGTGCCACAAGGTGAGTCGGCCTTGCAATGCTAGGTCATTAGTTGAAATCCTGTTTGAATTCGTGAAATTTTTAAGGCTTTCTTTCACAACTTCACAGACTCTGAAATCCCACTTTCATCTTCATTTACTGATTTTCTTGAGCATTTAATTACTCTAAGAAATACCAGTTAGTGGTAGATAGAGTAACTCCCATATCAGTTTTTCTTTTCATTTCAAGGGCGTTTCAAACTGCTTTCATTAATGTTTTTGCTTTGTGTTCCGTTTCTTTTTCAGTCGTATTGTTACCGATATCGTTGTGCTGCTAGAAGTCAGAATTCTGCTGACACCACAGCTTCTAATCTTGGCTTACGCTGCGTCAGTGATAAACTACCTGATGGTGTACAGCTTGTCAAATAACCAGCAATACATGTAGTTTGCACTGAATTAGACAAAGATAAGTGAACTAAGTGTATTGCTCGGAGTGAAGCAAAGTAGAACCGCTGCAATCAAGGAAAATTTTCTTCTTAGGGAATTATGAAATCTCATTGAGTAAAATAATTTTCCTTTGATATCTAGGTAGGAATCTGATAAAGAAAATTGTATTAGAAAAATATATTGAAAAAAAATAAAGAAACCGATTAATTGAATTTGAGCATTTTTTTATCACGTGCAAATTCGTTGGGAGATGGTTATGTAAGGTGATATTTACCGACTCTTTCATACATTCGGAACTTGTCTCAGTTTTTTTGTTCTGCTTGCAGTCTCTCTTAGTATGAGAGAGGCACTAAGATCCTAACGGGGGTAAGTTTTTAAAGAAACTGTGGTGTTGCCTCGGAGGGGGATATTAGAATATAATTAGGTTTTCTCAACTGAGTTAATAGTGTAAATTGGCCATCGTAAATAGTTTCTTAAGTGGACATTTCGCGCGTTAGCCCTTCATCAATCACTCTGACTAAGGGATACCGCTCGAAACGTCCGCTTTAGAAAGTATTTACAGTGGCCAATTCACATTACCAACTCAGTTGAGAAAACCAAATAGTAAATGAAATCCTAGCTTGCTTTATACACTTTCGACGTTGAAAGCTTCTCTATTTTACTGTTCTTGTGGCTTTTGTCATGGCCACGATCGATTGTGTGGATTTGGTTTTTAATCAATCTACACAATTCCACTGTAAATATTTTCAGTTGATGGAATACTCAGTAGCCCTTTTGACCTCTTCTTCCTGTTTAATCAGTGTTTGATATTTAGATCGGGCTTAGGCGCCCTGACATGCTCTACGAACTTCCTCTGGTGATAAAAATAGTTTGATTGCGCAGGTCTGAAGAGTACATGCACTAATACAGTAAAATGGGTACATTTTTACATAACGAAGCTAACTTGACTAAAGAAAATAAGTCTTGGAATGAAATTTTTCTCCAAGGTATCAGGTAAAAGATGACAGCATGTTGACAAGTGACGGATTGAAGTTTATATTCACTTGCGTTTTTGTCAGAGATCCTTTGCATGAGCTGATTTCGTGATTGTGAATTACAGAAAACTTTTCCGTAATTGACAGTCGTAGTTGAAACAAAACAAAACAGTCGGGACGAGAAATAAATTGTTTCTTATTTTAAGGGCATTGACAGGTAAGGTTGAGATTTTGAGACAGTTGCAAAATTTTTAGGTTTTGGAAGAGTTAGAATATTTTATGATGTCACGGATAACAAAAGTTTGCTATTTGGCAGACGTTATCATTGCAAGGAAGTACGGCACAGTATAGCGCTTGGTCAAAGGTGACCTCAAAACTTAATCACGCTGTTTCCGTTGGTGGTATTTCTTTAGTCCTACTCGACACAGACCTTTTTTTCATGACTGACAAGGTCGTCTGATTACTGGAGATCACGCTAATGGCCTCTCGCTTTCTTTATCTCGAAACCTTGCGCAGAAAAACGATTGAATATACAGGTCATTATATTTGTCATTGTTGCTATGTTAAATGATGAAAGTTAAAAACATTTGCTACCACTTTCAAGGTTATGTTGCATGCAAATTGTGTTAGAATTAGCCTATTGTTAGTGGCCGGTCTTGTCTTCGTACTCTTGTCGCTGGTGTCCGAATGCAGAATAATAATCAGAATGACATCGGTCACGCATAGATGATTCTGTGTAGTCATGTGTATGCAGAGACCTGCAGACAGTTGCAGTTGTCTTGAAAGAAAATTTACAAATTAAGCAGCGGTATGTATTATTAAGTCCCACTTTATCGGAAACATTGGGGCTTGCTAAGGTTATTAAAGGCTAAGAGTCTCAAAATCATTTGATAAAACTCATAGATTCCACTCCATAAGCTCGTCAAAGCAAGCAGATTGAAGCTGAAATTCTAAGCTGTCCGCAGAATTTGGTGAACGGTAGATTTGTATGAAGTTCGTTATTTTTCAACAAATATGAGTTTTTTTATTTTCAGATCTCGGGCTTTTAACCTCGAATTCCTTTCTATGGTCGCTTAAGATTTGTAATCGTGGTTAAAACCTTAAAATTCTTAGTATTAACTGACACGCACTAGCGGTTTTGCGAGTATTGGGTGACAACCGTTCATTAGCGTGCGGGTAGTGAAAATCAAGATATCTGAAATCTTTGGCTGATGTATTTTCTTTTCATCCTTTGGAAATCACATTCCCCGAGAGAGAGAAAGAGAGGTACGTTGGGTGTGCAGGCAATTCCCCTTCTCCCATGCATTGCTTATTTTGTTTATCGAGGCTGTTATCGACATGCAGCTAGACCCACGAACAGACATGACTACTAGAAATCGATTGAACCGAAAAGTTAGCTTCAAATTAACCGAACATTTTTCGAAGTGTTAGCTGCTTCATTTATTTTTACATTTAATAATCAATATACCCACTGCTAAAATGCTATTGTTTTGCGTAGTAGCTATTTGCTTCAGTCTCAAATTCGTGACCCAGTTCTTTAGCGTCACCCTTTTTGAATAAATAAATTCCAAGTCTTAAAGGTGCCGATAGTACTTCTGATTTGTGATATGCTTTGCTTCTCGTGGAAGAGCTCTGATATAGGTTTCCTTGGCTAACAGTTACAGTGAAAAAGTTAATTAGCGATTGACTTCCGATCATGGTCGTTGGTCTGACGTCGGAGCTTCGTATCGTTTGTGACCTCGACCAAATACGAGGTTCAAAATAACGTGGCAATCGCTCTACATATTTATTAGATAGGAAATGTTCCAAGTATGGTATGGAAACAGACTGCGGGAGAAGATGAATTTTGGGTCTGGTCGAAGGCAAAAAGATTTTTATATAAAGCGTAGTTTGCAGTCAACAGAAATTAATTCCTTCCAAAACCGTGAACGAATTTCATCCCACTGGCTGTTCCTGATAACATTAATATTTCATGTTCCCACCTGTGGTATAACTCCGCTTTTCGTTAACAAATCTATAAGTGGACACCAACTACTCTCGTGTCTCCCAAAGAAAGACCTACTACTGCAAGCGCCTGATTTTGAACACCGTTATTATGACTAAATTGCTTTTCATCAATCGTTGCTTTCGGAAATGTCTATACTTTATACCCGAAAATATGTGCGTATGTCTCGAAGTAAAGTGTAAACAAAGGGGTAAGTCAGTTTCTAAGAGAACCTACTTAATTTTTTGTGGCGGTTGTCAAAATAAATTGTAGGTTTGTATTCGAGAAAGCAAGAATTACGTTAAATATTACAGTTTAGTCGCTTATCAAACGTTCTTTGACACAAGGTGACCGGTGCGCAATCGAACATGAGCATGACGTCATTCAAGATGGCGCCGAAATCGTAAAGGACCCATTACAAAGAATTCGAAGAGTTTTCGCCTTGGTTACACAGGAATACCCACGAAGTCATAGGAACCTCCACAAATTAGGAAGCGTTCTGCTGGAGTCGAGCGCAAAAAGCTGGCGTTTTCTTCAGTCAGCAGACGCTGAGTAAGATTCCCTTAAAGTTAAGTCATTTGAATCACGCTAGATAAGAATTTCTGGGAAGTAGGGAATCGGCTGAAAAATCCGCAAATATAGAATTAGGCCAACTAATTTAGAGACTGAATATCGCTCTTGGAAGCGTTCAAGAAGAAAAAAAAAACGACTTTTAAAAAAGCTCTCTAGAATTTCCTATTTTGCATCGTGCCATAAAATTACAATAATTCTATAAAGCCAAATCCCTTACGATCTGAAGTTGAGATTAGTCTTTAAACGCCTCAGTTTCAAATCTGATAAGGTATGTCTCTTCAAAAATCCAAGATCTGAGATTTCTTTTGAGCGCTAGCTAAGAAAATATTCGATTGGTCTCCATAAATGAGAAACGAAGATCACTTCTTTTGGCCTAAATAAGGAGAAAAGTTTCAAGATATAAGCTCCCGCCCACCATGGATCCGGCACCTACTACGTAATTGAATACCCGTATAGCAGTTTTAACTCCAAATTTCTTAAACAGCATAATAAATATGGTAAATTTTGAGCTCTGTAATGAAATAGAGAGAGGTGATTTTTTTGTCATGAAAAGAGCGTTGAACAAAAAAAAGTTAGGGAAAAGTCTTTAATTATCGCCATAACTTGGGAGGACGCTAGAAAACTACAAATTCTTAGTTCAATCTATTATTATTTGATTACCAGTCTCATTTTTGTCTTAGATACCATGAATCCCAACGAAACTGGTGTGGCTTTTTCTGGTGGTGGCATACGGTCAGCGGCACTATGCTCTGGAGTCCTGCGTAGACTGCTCCAGGTTAGAGCGAAAGTAGACTACCTGAGCTGCGTGTCAGGGGGTGGTTACACAGGCACTGCATTTTTGGATTGGAAATACAGGTACGAGAAAAAAGCAAAGGGCAACGAAGAATGGCATGAAGAGTTCTTCGACAACATGCGACGAAGAGTAGGCTTTATATGTAACTGGGAGAAGCCTTGTCAAGGAATCCTTGATTCGATTATGGTGTTCTTTCTAATGCTTACTGTCACCGTCATTGAACCGATTGTCATATATGGATCATACGCATTTCCACTTGCCTTCATTAATGATTATCTCTTCGGAAAGTTACTTCGCGCCAAAGTGGACTGTGATCACGTTACAGCAGTCCCTTCTGCAAGTAACCCCGACGCCACCGCTCAAGGAATCCGCGAGCACTGTCTTTCTCGTCAAGGAACCGTTCCTGTTGCTAAGACTATCCTATTTTTAGTTCTGTTGGCGTTCTATGTCACTTTTTACATTCTGTCACGAAAGTTGTCCGACGTGAAGTCTAAATATTTCAGACTTTTCTCGACAATTTTCTTCTTGTTTCTCTGTTTTACTTTCCTCCCATTTGCAATAAATGATTTCTTCATTGAAATCCCCGTGTGGAGTCGGG